TTAACAAAATATATATTTACACAAATTTGCATCAGTAGCTTTTCCCATTTACACATAAGTATTTAATTAAAGTGCCAAAAATTAGAAGCAGCAATTTAATAATGCCTTGCTGCTCCCTTCACCGCATTACAATTGCATAGAGTCTACAAAGTTCTGAAATTGTTATATATCAATGGATTGGAATCTGACAGAATGATAGGATAATGAACAAATGGGAAACATTTATAAATCTAACATATTTCACTTTTATTAAAATTTCACTAGAAAATAAAAATATGGAGTAGACAATGAAAATACTACTGTTTTTAATTTTTATGTTGTTTTTCATTGGTTAAGCAGACTTTACATGCATTTCTCTTGCCAAGCAGTATTCATTAGTTCATGTGTGTGTGTGTATGTGTATCATAATTATAGTTTTGTTTATGCAGGATATGGATGATAATGTGTGTGTGTGTGTGTGTGTGTGTGTGTGTGTGTGTGTGTGTGTGTGTGTGTGTGCATCTATTAGGAATTTTTTAAAGAATATTCTGCTATTTTTCATTTTTTTGTCTTGTTTGTTTTTCATTGATTAAGCAGACATCACCTGCATGTGTCTGTCTATGGAGGATTCAGATGTTAATGTATATTTGCTTGTTTATATGTGTGCATGTGTGTGTGCACACATCTAGTAGCCATTTTTATCCATGTTTGGGGTGATAAAACTGGCAATATCTATATGATGAGCTAGTAAAACTAGCAATATTTATATGTTAAGCCCTAGAGCATATAAAAAATGTTAGTGATGAGGTTACTAGATTCTACATGAAAATGCCTGAGGAGTATATGGATGAGATCAACGGCAGAGCCAAAAATATAACGACCAACAACTGAATAAAAGACAAGTCTTTTATAACAGTTAAGGTCCACAAGCAAAAATTTTATAAATAATTCCTCATTTTGGTTAATCATCCCAAGAAAGACAGAAGATTAGTAAAATAATCTTACAAGAAATATGCGATATGTTACGGGTAGCTACCTAATTAAAA